CGCCGGCCACTATTGCCTGGCAGGTCACACACACAGGTGCAGGCAGTCAAGTGTGGATCCACTGCCCTGGCTGACCAGCCCAGCTGGTGCACTAGGCAGGGGTGTGGGGAAGGGGCTCTTTCTTTCATATGTGTGAGCCTGCTCTCCAGTCACTGGCAGCCCACCTGGGCTGCTGGGCTCCATGGGGGTGCCCACATAGTGGCTGAACCACCTCAGTGTGGAGCATTACCATGGGCTGGGATGCAGCTTTGAAAGTGAAAGCCTTCATATGGAGGCCTGCCAGTTCCCCTGCCTCTTCTTAGAGTTGCTTGCCAGCTGCTGGGTGAGAACCCGTGACCTAGATCGTTGCCACTGGGGAGGGGGCGGAGGTCCACTCACCTCCTTCCACTGCTTCCTGGGGATTCAGTACCCCCAACTTCAGATGTATGGTTGCATGGATCTCTCAGATGTCCTATTCTGCTGTGTGGGTATCCTCTATTGGTTAACGAATGTCCATTTGGTTGTTTCTAAGGGGGGAGGGACTAAGGGAACAGCTCACTCTGCCATGATGCTGACGTCACTCCTTCTGTCTCTTTTTCTTGATGAATGTTGCTAATATTTCATCATTTTATTAATCATTCCAAAGAACCATGGTTTTGTTGATCTCTCCATGGTATGCTTGTTTGACTCACTCAGTGAATCTTGGTTGTTCATATTTGTAATTGAGGATCTGTATCAAATGATATATTTCCTCAGATTAAATTTCCATTTATATGTGTTTGTCAGTGAATAGAGGTTATACCTCTGGTGGTTTGGGGGTGGGACAGGATGTGTAGGTAGGAGGTCTTCTGGATGTGGGAGGTTCCCATCCCTCTTGGTAGCCCTAAGTTACTTGAGGCACTGATTGCCTTGCCTTCCACACTAGTCACTCCCTAGAAACTTCTATCCTTGCCTTCCACAGCAGCATCATTTCTTTCATTCATTTTCCCCCCCTTGCTGGCTCTCTGCTTCATTTCAGTTGCCTTTGTAAGTTATTCTTTGTCAGTATAACCAAGTCTTGGGCCCTTTTCTCTGCTCCGTCTACTTCCCACAGGAAATCTCAACCCTGTTATGACTTTAATTACCTTCTATATGCTGGAAACTCAAAAAATATATATCTGGGTCAGATTTATTTGATGAATTTGAGATTATTTACTGTTCCCTCCCTTCCTTCTTTCCTTTTCCCTCCTTCCTTCCTTTGCTCCTTCCTCCATTCCCTCCTTTCTGTTTTCCTTCCCTTTCTCCCTTCCTTCGCTCCCTCTTTCCTTCCCTCCTCTCTCCCTCCTATCCACCTTCCCTTCATCCCCCCCTCCTTTCATTTCTCCATTTCTCCCTCCCTCCAAGGGAATAATAAAGATAAAGCTCCTGAGGGGGGGAGGATGCTTTGGTGTGTTAGTGGATCAGCAAGGAGAACAGCTGAAATTGAATAAATAAAGGGCAGAATAAGTAGGAGATGAATCAGAGGTAAGGAGGGAACAGGTAGCATTGGCAGGAGGTGTACTGGGTAGGACCTTGTAGAACATTGTATAGACTTTTACTGTGAATGAGATGGGAAAGCTTTGGATTATTCTGAGCCAGTAATGATATGATATGACTTACACTGTAACAGAATTCACTCTGTCTCCTTGTGTGGAAATTGAGTGGTGGGGATAAGGATGGAAGCAGAAGACAAGTTAGGAGCCTATGGCAAAAATCAAGGTGGGAGATGATGGTAGCTTTGACCAGTGTGATAATGGTGGGAGTGGTGAGAAGTGATCAGATTCTATATATGTTCTGAAGGTTGAAACAACAGGATTTGCTGATAGATTTGATATGAGATGTGACAAAAAGAGGATCAAGGATGACCATAAGATTTTTTTCCTTCTATCAAAGGATAGAATTGTCATTAACGGAGATGGGGAAGATTATTGGACAAGCAGTTTTAGGGGTGAGGGTGGGAGGGGGGAGATAAAGAATTCAGTTTGGACATGTGTATTTTGAGATGCCAATCAGACATTCAAATGCTGATGCCAAGTAGGCAGTTGGAAGCATGAATCTGGATTTTTTGTGTGTGTGAGGAAGATTAGCCCTGAGCTAGCATCTGATGCCAATCCTCCTCTTTTTGCTGAGGAAGATTGGCCCTGGGCTAACATCCGGGCCCATCTTCCTCTACTTTATATGGGACATGCCACAGCATGGCTTGACAAGCGGTGCATTGGTGCTTGCCTGGGATCCGAACCTGTGAACACCGGGCCACCAACGTCAAGCACATGCACATAATTGCTACGCCACCAGGCTGGCCCCGTGAATCTGGATTTTAAAGAAATATACTGGAGCGATTCATTTGGAGTCATCAGCATGTAGGTGGTCTTTAATACCATGAGATGGGATGAGATCACCAATAGGATGAGTGTAAAGAGGGGGCGGAAATGTCCAAGGACTGAGCACTAGAACACTCCAATATTTAGAGCTGGGGATAAATGAAAGACCACAAATATGAGAAATAGCAGCCGGTGATGCGAGCCGCTGAAAACCAGATGAAGAAAGCAGTTCAAGGAGGAGGGAGTGATCAACTGTGTCAAATGCTGATGATAATTTTTTTGCAGATATTGTTCCTTTGTGTGGAATTTGTACATTCTTCTTCTCAGTTGGCTTATTTTTACTTCATTTCCACTTCTCAGATCAAGTATCTCTTCCTCAGGTAAGCCTTGTCTGACTCTGACTGGTTTGTACATTTTCATAGGCCCTAACTTTCTCTTTTGGGGGTTCTCCACACAATTATACTTAATTATTTGTTTAATGATAAGCTGACTCCTATATTAGACTTCAACTTCTATGAGCAGTGTCAGTCTTGCTTGCTGCTGTGTCCCTGGCATTTCTCACAGTGCCCAACATCAGTAAATATTTGTTGAATGAACGGATGAGTGAATGAACAACCATGTCTGTGTTGTACTATGACTAGCACATTTTAGGATGACTTAGAAAACTCCACCCTCAAAAGCTTGGCCCAATTCACACTTTGGACCTGGAGCAACACCATTCCTCAGCAAGAGGCTGAGTTCTTGCCCCTGACTTTTGCCCTTGGGCAACAGCAGAGTATGTGGAGGGCAACACCATTCTCCTCCCCATCCTTACTGTGTGACTGGTATTTTACATGTGCTGTCTTTAATGTTTGCAACAACCTTGTAAGCTGGTAATATCAGTGTTGCAATCAAGGTAGTAAAAATTTGTGGAGATTAAAGTGTGCTCAAGGTGGGCTGCCCCGGTGGCACAAGCGGTTAAGTGCGCGTGCTCCACTGCGGCAGCCCGGGGTTCGCGGGTTCGGATCCCGGGCGCACACCGATGCACTGCTTGGCAAGCCATGCTGTGGCAGCATCCCATATAAAGTGGAGGAAGATGGGCATGGATGTTAGCCCAGGGCCAGTCTTCCTCAGCAACAAGAGGAGGATTGGCAGATGTTAGCTCAGGGCCGATCTTCCTCACCAAAAAAAAAAAAAAAGTGTGCTCAAGGTATTATTGCTACTAAGTGGCAGAACTTGGATTCTCAAATTTGAAAGTCTGTGCAGTCTTCTCTGCCATGCAGACTTTTAACTTACTCTTAGCTTAATGATTAAGCGCACAGCCTAGGTTCAAATGCTACTTCATTTTTTGCCAGCTACATCCTTGAGTAGATTATCCAATCCTTCTGTGCTCTATTTCTCCAACTGTAAAATGGGGATTATAGCAATACCCATATGTCAGGATTGTTTTGAAAGTTGAATGAGTTAATTAATATTACTTCACATTAGAACCTGATACTTGGTAAGCACTCAATAAGTGTTGGCTCTTTTCATTATTACTTTTCCTTCAAAGGTAACTCAGCTTAGCTGTCATCTCTTTTGGGAAACCTTTGTGATTGCCTCCCCTCCAGTAACTTGTGCTTCCAAGAACCCCATGCATGCCATTGTATAGCACTTATCCTACTCCATGGTAATTCTGTATTCTCATGTCTGGTTACCCCCGCTAGATATTGAGCAACTTTTGAGGGCAAGAGAATCTTGTACAGCGTACTTGGCACTACACACACACACACACACACACGTTTGAAAGTCAGGGAATTCATTAACACCATTATCCAGAGACATCTAATTGGGTGCTAAAGGTCCTTAGAGTCTCCAGGGTTCCTTTCTAGTAGCCAGGGTAGTAACTATAAGGTTTGGCCTATTTGTCATTTTTATTTTAGACTACACTTTTCCTTACCAGTTTCCTTTGTGAAATGAATTCACTGGAGATCTTTTCAGACCATTACCTGCTTTTATGAAAGCCATAAAAACAGCACATTTTCCTTTGCTTTTCTTTGACTCCATGACTTTTGCCTTTTTGTATCTCTTTATAATGTTTTGCTCCCTTTTCTGGCTATTTTGTTTATTCACCTTATTATTTCCTCTGATTTCCTCTACCATTTCCCTTTCAGATATTACAAAGGGAGCCTGTACCTTTTAATGCTTTGTCTCAGTGATTATGCCACACACTTGTGCCCTTACCCTGGTTAAAGGGTGTACACAGAGCTAATACAACAAAAGCACGGGAACACATTTCCAGGGTTTCCTACTGAGCGCAACCCTACCTTAAATGGAAAGAATTAAGTACTTACTAAGGAAAAGCAAAAGACATTTAATTTCAGAAGTTAAGTGCCTGTTTATCTCTCAATTAAACACCAAAACCCAAGAAATCTACCTTTGGTCAGACTTTCTAAATTTAATGAACTGTGGGTCATTGGAGAATGATCATGCAATGTCTTCTCTTTCCAAAGACATTTTCTTTGTACGAGTGAGTATTTCGTAATCCTTCTATTTCCTGTTTGAAGTTCTAAAGATATTTTCTTGAGTAGGGACTCTGTTAAAAACAGAGTACTCTGATAAAAACATAAGATATTGAGGCAAGGAAAAATAGTGTGAATAGAGGTACCGTGTAAATAATTATTATAAGTGGGGGAAGGACACTGCCCCTTGGAGTTGGGCTACTGTCTGAGCTTCCTCCAGAGCCTGTAACCTCAGGGTAGGGAGGAGTCCACCCATATCGACAGTGGCAGTGTTTGTCATTGTTGCATACCTCTCTCATATGACATTTCTCTAATTTGCAGTCATAATTGAGGGCCAAATATTGACATAGCTACTTCTCATACATATCTTGCCTAGACCACACAAGGTGCCATCTTTTCCTTGTCCAGTATCAACTATATCCCTCCCAAAGTGGTAGTCAGTTCCCTAACACTTGGTACCATTAACTGATATCTGAATTATGGCATTGTATTGTTTCAGATTGTTTCTAAATTATTTAAGATTTTTAGATTTTTCCGGAATTGTTTCTATATTCTCACACTGCACTCTTCCACACAAATTATTTGGAGGAGGGAGTTTTTTGTATGTTAAATCTTCCATACGATGGTCGCCAAAACAATCTTCTTGCATATTAATTGTTTTCTGGCAGCTCAGGGAGGCACTCCTTGTTTGGCCAAAAATATATTAACATTGTTTCTTCTGACTGTTGCACATTTTGTGATAACAGTAGGCACTCTCACCACAAAGCGTCCCATCCTGCACGTAGAAATCCTCAGGGCACCACCTTGAAGTTCCATTGCACCTCTTGGGAAGGTCACATTCACTGATATGTGTTCACTGACGAGCCTTCCAGGAAAAGCAAACTTACCTTTTATACAACAAGGTCCAAAAGTGCGTTCTGCCCAAGATTTCAATTTAGAATTAGAGCCAACAGCAAGGATCCTTTCTGCACTGACGTTCTGACCCACAGTCACCCTCTTCACCTTCCACTACCTTGTTATCACGTTGTTCCAATGGCATAACATTTCGAGAAGGCTGTGTATTCTCAGACAGACTCCCCTGTGGTTAATGAGGTTAAAATAACTTCCATAACTGCAGTTGCTAAAAGCACTGGTATTTGTATTATAGGCATTCATGATGCAATATTTTTTCCTCCATAAACAATTCCTCCGTGTGAGACATACCAAGATTATGGCCCAGTTGGTGAGCAATGACCGCTGCAAAATGAAGGAAATCTTCTTTGAGGAATTTACAAACTGCTGGCCCCAAATTGGGGTAGCATATTGCTGAGGTCCGAGCCAATCCAAATATATTAGAAAAATCCTTGCCCACAAACAGATGCCCACAATCATGTGGCAAGCGTGCGGATGAACACTTTTCCATTCACTGACACTGTCAAGATGTTGACTTATGTCCTGTTCAACATTGATGAGATTCCTATGGTTCCAAATCTCAATCCCAATTCAAGAAATGTGAAGACCTAGCTGTAGATAGACAGAATCTACTAAATTGATCACATTTAATATATCTTCTGTTGCCTTTGAGGCATTCCTATTTGAGTAATTGAAACCATAGTTTTCCACCACTACGATCAGCTCCACAAATGGCCAGTGGGTCCACCAGCCATGGGAACTTGGTGGCAGTTTTCAGTTCTCTGCCTCGAACTCCAGCTTTTGATGTTGTATATCCTCTTCTGTTAAAGCCACATTTCATGGGCAGGAATTGAGTCTTGTTGTTATCTATCTTATAGCAACTATAGTTAGTGTTCAAATGTGTTAGAGTGCCTTATGGGCTCGATTTCATAAGTGAGGTCGTTTATCTGTAGCATCCCTTCAAGGGTCCCCAAACAGTTTCTGAGGACAAACAGGGACTCAGGGACCCCCTCCACACAACCATGATAGTAGCAGTCATCCCGGAGGAAGGGCTGATCCTTGTGGGGGGCGTGCTGCTCTGTGTAGGTGAACACTGGAGGGGTCTGGAAACCAAAAGCCTCTTAGGCTGTAGACGAATGCTGTGTGTGCAGCCTTCCAAACGCAGGCTGCAGGCGAGCCCATGGGACAAGTTGGAGGCTCTGCCTGAGGCTTCCAGGGAATCACCACTCGGGTGGGACTGAGTGCCAGTTGGGCTGGGACTGCGAGGAGCCAATGGGGACCAGGAGAGCACCTGGCAGCGGGCACTGGGCCGCACCTCTTCCATGATGGAGAGCCCCAGCGTAGCAGTGGTGGTAGGAAAGTGGGCGATGGAGGGTTGAGTCAGAAAATGCTCTTCTGAGGCTGGAGCCCAGCCTCCCAGGTTCGCCGGCTACCACCTGTACCCAGAGAAAGGGGTGATTCCTCGATCTTGGTCCTGTAAGGAACTGGGGCTGGGGTTCAAGGGGCTGGAAGCTGGCCAGAGACTTACTACATACTTGAGAAGAATGTGTATTCTGCCGGTTTTGTATGAAATATTCTATAAATGTGAATTATATCTAGTGAATTGATGGTGCTGTTGAGTTCAGCTATGTCCTTTGTGATCTTCTACTTGCTGGATCTGTCTATTCCTGGTAGAGAGGTGTTGAAGTCTTCAGGTATAATAGTGGATTCATCTATTTCTCCTTGCAGTCCTATGAACTTTGCCTCATGTATTTTGATGCTTTGTTGTTATGCACAAACACATTAAAGATTGTTATGTCTTCTTGGAAAATTGACCCCTTTCTCATTATGCGATGCCCTTCTTTATCCCTGATAATTTTCCTTGCTCTGAAGTCTGCTCTGTCTGAGATTAATATAGCTGCTCCAGCTTTTTTTTTTTTTTTAATAATTTTTATTTATTTATTTATTTTCCCCCAAAGCCCCACTAGGTAGTTGTCCATCATAGTTTAACATCCTTCTAGTTGCTGTACGTGGGACGCGGCCTCAGCATGGCGGGAGAAGCGGTGCGTTCGTTGGTGCGCGCCTGGGATCTGAACCCGGGCCGCCAGCAGCGGAGCGCGCGCACTTAACTGCTAAGCCACGGGGCCGGCCCTCCAGCTTTCTTTTTATTAGCTAGCATGATACATTATTCTCCATCCCTTTACTTCAAGGTGTATATGTCTTTATGCTTAAAGTGGGTTTCTTGTAGTCAACATATAGTTGGGTTGTTTTTGATCCACCAAGAAAATCTGTGTCTTTTAATTGGTGTGTTGATACCATTGATCTTTAAAGTGATTATTGATTTAGTTGGATTAATATCTACTGTATTTATTACTATCTTCAGTTTATTGCCCTTGTTCTTTGTTTCTGTTTTTGTCTTCCACTTTTTCTGCCTTTTGTGGTTTTGGTTTTAACTGAACATTTTATGTGATTTCATCTTCTCTCCTTCCTAGCTGATCATTTATACTTCCTGTTTTACTTTTAAATGGTTACCCTAGAGTTTGAAATATACATTTACAATTAATTCTAGTTCACATTTAAATAATTCTATACCACTTCACAAGTAGTGCAAGTACCTTATATTCACAAAATATTCTTTTCTTATTTATTTTTTGGCTCATCATTTTTTTAATTGTGAAATGTTTGTTGTACATTATTGTCAGTCACCACATAAGTGCATCCCTCCACCCCTTGTGACAAAATATTCTTAATTTTTCCTTCTATCCCTTTAGTGTTGCTGTCATTTACTTTATCCATAAGTTATAATCATTAAATACATTGTTGCTATTCCTATTTTGAACAAAGTTGTCTGTTAGATCAATTAAGAATAAGAAAAATGAAAAAATTTTTTTAACCTTCACTTATTCCATCTCTAATTCTTTCCTCTCTTTTTGTAGATGCGAGTTTCTAACCTATGTAATTTTCCTTCTCTGAAGAACTTCTTTTAACATTTCTTGCAAGGCACGTCTACTCGCAATAAATTCCCTCAGGTTTTGCTTGTCAGAGCAAGTCTTTATTTCTCCTTCACTTTTGAAGGAGAATTTTGCAGGATACAGAATTCTAGGTTGGTGGTTTTATTTTCTCAACATTTTAATTATTTCACTCGACTCTATTCTTTCTCGTGTGATCTCTGAAGATAAACCCAATGTAATTCTGCTTCTCTGTAAGTATGGTGGTTTTTTCCTTTGGCTTCTTTCAAGATTTGCTCTTTATCTTTCAGTTTCTGCAGCTTGAATATGATATGCCTACGTGTAGATTTTTTGACATTTCTCCTGCTTGGTGGTGTCTGAACTTCCTGGATCTGTGCTTTGGTGTCTGACATTAATTTGTTGGTAATTCTCCACCATTATTGCATCCAATATTTCTTCTGTTCCTTTCTGGCTTTCTTATCCTTCTGAGAATACCACGTATATGTTACATATGTTACACCTTTTTAAATTGTCCAACAGTTCTTGGATGTCCTGTTCTATTTTATTTTTTTCTTTTTCTTTTAGATTTGAGGAGCGTTTTTATTGATATAGTCTTGAGCTGACTAATTTTTTCCTCAGCCATGTCCAGTGTACAGATGATCTCATCAAAGGCATTCTTCATTTTTATTATAATGTTTTTGATTTCTAGCATTTCTTTTGGATTCTTTTATTAGAATTTTCATCTCTCTCCTTACGTGATCATATGTTCTTGCATATTGTGTACTTTCTCCAGTAGAGTCCTTAGCATATTAATAATAGTTGTTGTAAATTCCTGGTCTGATATTCCCAGCATCCCTGCCATATCTTGAGTCTGGGTCTGATGCTTGCTCTGTCTCTTCAGACTGTTTTTTCTCTTTAATATAACTTGTAATTTTTTGTTGGAATCCAGATATGATGTACTGGGTAATAGCATATTGGCCTATAGTATATAGGCCTTTAGTGATGTGGTAGTAATGTACAGAGGGATAGGAAGCAAAGGATAGTTCTATAACTAGGTCTGAGTGTTTAAGTAGCCTGTGTCTCTGGACTGTGACCCTCAAAAGTGTTTCTCAGTTCCTCTACCCTCCTAGGTGGAACAGGATGGCTAGAGGGGTTGGAGTCATGTATTTCCCCTCCCCTAGCCCAGTTAGGCATTGATAAAACCCCAGTAAGGCGTGGATAAAACCCCAGTAGATTAGGCTGTGGGAAAGTAGTTGCTGTTGAAGCCTTGCGAAGAAGGACAGAATACTGTGGATGTATTTCAATATGGCTACTTTTGCCTCCCCCTGCCACGACTATGAGGGGATTTTGACTTCAGTGTGAGAACCAGGTAGCGCTCCTGGAGGTAAAACTCATAAAAGTGTGAGGGTCCCCCTAAATTGGTCCTCCCTTTAGTTTTTAACTCTCAGATTTGTCCACATCTAGCCTCCAGCAATTTGTCAATTATAGTTTAGGTTTTCCTATCCCATTCCAGTTTCCCACAGAGATTTCTGCCTGTGGGTTTCTGCTCTGGTAGCGTGTGGTTTTTTGTATTCACTGTTGGTCTCTTCAATTTTGGGGACAACAGTTTTTCCCATGAACTCAATACTCCAATGGATCTAAAAGGAGTTATTAACTTTTAGTTTGTTAAGCTTTTTACTTCTTGTTAGGATGGGATGATGACTTCCATTCTCTGTACATGCTGCACCAGAAACCCCAAGTCTCCCTAGATGTACTTTTCTTGGTGTTTATGCTGCTTAATGTTCTCTGAGCTTCCTGGTGTTGTGGTATGGTTTCTGTCATTAATTTTGGAAGACTCTCACCCATTATTACTTCAAAGAGTTTTTTCTGCTTCTTTCTCTCTTCTCCTACTTGTATTTCCATTTTGTGTGTGTTATAACTTTTATAATCATACCACGGTTCTTGGATATTCTGTTCTTTTTAAAAATTTTTTCTTTGCATTTTAGTTTAAGAACTTTCTATTGACGTATCTTCAGGCTCACTGATTCTTTCCTTGGCCATGTCCAGTCTACTTACGAGCCCATCAAAAGCACTCTTTATATCTGTTACAGTGTTTTTGATTTCTATCACTTAAAAACATTTTTTTCTTAGAGTTTCCATCTTTCTGCTTATATTACTCATCTCTTCTTGCGTGTTGTTCACTTCTTCCCTTATAACTCTTAACATATTAATCATAGTCATTTTAAATTTCCAGTCAGGTAATTCCAAAAACTGCCATATCTGAGTCTGGTTCTAATGTTTGTTTTGTCTTTTCAGTCTGTGTTTTTTCCTGCCTTTTATTAGCATGCCTTGTAATTTTTCACTGAAAGCCAGAAATGATGGATTGGGTAATAGAAACTGAGGTAGATAGGCCTCTAGTGTTTCTCTGACTGGGAGCTAGGCTGTGTGTACTGTTTCCCATAGCTGTAGGTGTTAGAGGTTCTAATTTCCTCTAGTGTCCTTGTTTTTGTTTCCTATGTTGTCTTAGAATTTCCTGAGAAACTCTTTAAATTGAACCTGTGCCTTTTACTTCTTTCAGCTGTAATCCACTTATTATACAGGAGACCTTTCGATGTGGTCTAAGGTGTGGGAGGAAGGGAAGCATTCTATAACCTTAAGATTAGGTCTCAGTCTAGTAGTGGTACTATGCCCCTGGGCTGTGAACTTCGCAATGCATTTAAACTTCCTCCTTGCCTTAGGTGAGATAGGAGGGCTAGAGGGGGCTGGAGTTGGGTAATTCCCCTTCCCTCAAGTTGCATAAGGCTCTGGTGAAGTCTTTTCGCTTACTGGTTAGACCTTCGTTTTGAGGACACTCTGAGTGTATTTCCAAATGGTTACTATTCCCCTCACCATATTTCAAAAAGGTCACTTTTCTCCTCCTCTTGGTCAAACACATGGTTTTTTTTTTTTTTTTTTTTTTGATCTTTACTATGATCCTGGAGGTCAGACTTACAACAGTGTAGAAGCTCCCCTTAGAGTGGGCCTGCAGGAGTATTAACTCTGATGCTGGTCTACAGCCTGGCTCTAGCAGTTCATTGAAGTCACCGTTTAAGTGTTGCTGGCTCCATTCACGTCCTCAGGGAAGCTCATCAGTATTCTCTGCCGTTATCCTGTGTCTCCAGTGTGTCCTGTGGCCTCATTTCTCTGATGGACCTAAGAAAAGTCATTGATTTTCAGTTCGTTTGGCTTTTGTTCTTTTTGTGAGGGTGGGAATGATGATTTGCAAGCTCTTTACATGCCAGAGTGGAAACTGGAAGTGTATCCATTGTGCAATTTGTTTTCTTTAAGATTTTTTTAGACTTGCTTTCTGGCTATGGATATCATCAATTCCGGCAAATGCCCCATATGCATTTGAAAATAATGTGTATTCTGCAATTTT